GATCAGTGTTGCTGAACTATGAAATATTTTGGGTGCAGTGTATTTTTTACATACAGGTATAACAGAATAGCTTTAGTGTTGTTATTTATTTAAACTTGAGTATAAACTTATACAAAATGCAGCAAGATATTAAAAAAATGTTTTATTGATTAAAAAACACTATATCGGATTCATATCGGTATCAGCAGATATACAAATTTATGATATCGTATCGGTATCGGACATAAATAAGTGGTATCGTGCCATCTCTACTAATAACACTAGCTTGGCCAGAGGTTGCAATTAGAGAATAGGCAGTGACTCCTGGGCCTGGCAGATGCACTGAATAGTGATGGCTGAGGCTTGGAAGGTAGATGGGAGGAATCGTTATCTAATGTAACAAAATCGATGCCTCTGGCATGACATTTATGGTGTATAAGGATGGTGTGCAGGAGACGAGGTTGGCAGCTGCCTCTGCCTTCTGATGGTTATGTAAACCAAGGCTAGGTTATCTAGTTCAATGACAATGGATCTCTTGATCAATCACAGAAGAGCCACAGTTACTGCAGATTAGATTTAATAACAACTGAAACTGACTGGAAAGAGTTTGAAGATACTGACTGAGTACCTGAGTGGACCTGCAGCTGAAAAACAAGCCAAAATCATCACTCCTCCACCACTGTGCTTGATAATTGGAATGAGGTGGTTGTGTCAGTATGCCAAACATTGCACTGTGCATAGAGTCCGGTGAACTTTCTTTTTTCACATTACTGTATTAACACACTGGAAAATATCCCGATGCACTAAATAAAAGACAGAATGGAACTATCTCCGACCAATATCAACAGCGGAGTAGGAAATACTGTAACACTGCTCAAGGAGACCACCCTGAAGGGTAGACTCACCAACTTGAAATTAGGTATGGTACTTAATCTTTATTAAATACACCTGAGCTTTTGGCTAATTTTATGCAGCTAAACTTTTTTTTTTTAATCTGAAATTTATTGTTTGGTTCTCCACACAAGTAGGTAACAGGATTTCTATTGATGGCTGAAAAGAGCAGACTCAAAAGCAAAGACTTTAAACTCACTAATTTATCCATCAGTGTGTGTGTCCAGGTATGATGTTGTCTGAAAGGAGCTGCTTTGAAAGCATGATCAGTTATTAATATATATGTGCTCACATAAACAAGGTGATGTGCTGAATACTAAGACAGAAGATGAGTATTTTGAAGATGTGGATAGTGCCCTATGTTAGGAGCTGGTTTTTTGGGATCTCTCTCTCTTTTTTTAGGTGGGTTGCTAAAGCATATCAGGTGGAACAATGCTACATTCTCAGACTGTCCACACAGAGGAGTTGTGACGGTAATACAGAAGGCAAATATTCATATGAATGCATATGAACTTATTTTTGGTTGCTTGGTTTCCTATCTGTCACCCAGCTGCCCTGCTTGTCAGCAGATCTCCATCATCATGACAACATTCGCTTAAAGTCCAGCACCCTCTGCAGACAGGTCATGAGCCATGTGAGCATGTGATGGTGAGCTGAGTGGACAAAGTCAGGCGGTCAAAACAAAGAAAAAAATACACAAGGATTAAAAAACCAAAACACACACAAAAAAAAAAACAGAAAAGAAATGATAAAGTGTGTCTCTGAAACCCAACATCAACTCAAGGACCAATCCGGAAAGAAACCAGTAACAAAAAAGGTGTTTGTTTGGTGTATGTAAAGGGCAAATTATAAAAATAAATCAGAGGAACTGATAAAGATGTTGGGGCAGATTAAATCTGGAGTGAGTTTTAAACAAGATCAAAGGGCCTTTGGGTGCCCATCACGGGGCGATTTAATCCACCCTGCAGAGATGATGGGAGGAGGCAGCAGGGATGGGTTCACGACCTCCTCAGGCATGGCCGCTGATCAGCACAGAGTTCAGGATACAGGAAGTGTGATACGCATGCCATCATCACATCAGCGTTGTGAGGATGTGAGCTAAGACTGCTCCAACAAATCTTAGAGTTAATTTAAATAGTTGAAATGTTAAATGTTTATTGCACTGGATTTGTGGATAAGCTGAGAGACTTTGCGAGAATACACCTGTTTGGAGTCATGGTTTCAGTCTGAAACACATGACGGAGTCGCGGTTGAGTTACTGATACATAGGGAGTCTGATGGAGCAGTCCATGCAGTGAGGAAATGTCGGGGGCATCCATCCCTGAGGAAGTGGGGAGGAGGAGGGTGGAGTTACATAAAACAGTACTGAGTGTTCAAAAAAGAAGGAACAAGGAAGAAAGCCCTTGTGCTGTGAAGGTTCAGAAAGGGCTTCTTTGCACGGCTGCCTTTACTTTTTTCTGTGTGATTTCTCTCTCCCTCCCTCCCAATCTGTCTCTGCCTCACTCGGCTGAGGGGTCAGGGTCCTCAAAGGACACCCTAGTGGACTCTCGGAAGTCGGGATGCTGCAGGTCCTTTAAGAATTTGGTGGGGGTGAGCATGTGGGTGGCACCTGTGGAGGAACAGAAGTGGCTTCACCACTCGTCTCACAGCACATGCCATGCCCCCGCCCTTCCTTCACTCGCTCTCTCCAGAAAACAAAAGGATCAAAAAACAAGCAACCTGTCATACAGAGCACACCCACACACACACACACACACACACACACATACACACACACACACTCACACCAAGTTGCACAAACACAAATAAACTGGGAACACAGACACAGAGAAAGACATGGCGTGGCTGCAATTTAAAGACAACAGTTGTTTTTAAAGACAACAGCAGAAGCAGAGCACAACAAAAGACACTTTCAGTTAACATAACAATATAACACAGACTGGCTGGCAAAGCTTCAGGACATCAAATAAACAGTACACAGGAACATGACACAAAGGGCTACTTTAACACAAAATGCTGCACACAATAATCTACCTGCTATCTGTAATTGCATCCTGCAAAAAAAGCTGCTGCAGTGTAAACCTGTCGATGGGAAATTACTGTGACAGCAATGTGTGACGTGGGATGTATGCCGCCCTGTATGTGTGTGATGAAATGAGGTCTGCTGCGTTTATAAAACTTGAGCCTATATCTCTAAATTCCCATTTGGTTTCCACAGGCTGAAAAAAGTTAAAAATACTGAAATGAAGCCCAAAATATGAAACCGCATTTAATGTTTCAGGAAACTACATTTATTAGTCTATTCCATACTCGCAGAAAGCCAGATTTCCCTCTATACTCCAGACTTTGTTTCTCTGCCTGCCCATCTTTAATGTTTTTTAGCCACGTCCCAGGTCACAAGTCATCTGTGCCCATCAAAGACCACACACTGAATCTTCAGCCTCTCTTTAATCTGAATTAGGACGCAGCTTTTCCCACCTTTTGTGAAAACATGCCCACTCAGAGTCACACCCACTTTGTTTTCAAGGCGATGGATGTGTCTCTAACTACCCACCCCAGCAGCCTACACTACCCTCTGCAACACTACTCACCAATGATGGCTTCCCACTTCCCATTGGCCTGTGTGACCTCATAGGCGCAGCGCATTTCGCTGAAAGACACGCCGCCGATAATGAATACCATGACACGTGGCCCAGTGCGGTATTCTCCGGGTGTCTTGTTCTTGTGCCAGTGGCCGTACCGTGCACTGCCGGAAAACATTAAATGAAAGTACAGTATTAATACATTCTTTTGTTACTTTATTTTTGTGAAAATCTTACAAAAAGAGAAAAAAAGACAAGAAATTATTCACACAGCAAAAGGACAAGGCAATCAGTCACTTTTAAGTATTAATCCCATAGTAAAGATAACAACAGAAAGCATAACTGAGTGGATCCCATCCTTATGCAAAGGGGGAGCAGTTCATTTTTGTCCACCATGTTTATTTAATCCTGCTCCTTTCTTTCTTAATACTCAGAAGGTCTTCATGAGTCTAATCCATAGATATAGCTCTCCAGGAAGCAGGGGAATCCAAAGTTTCATCCACAGACTGGTAGTTTATCCATTTTCCCCAGTACTTTTCAAACCTTACAGTCACAAGTGTCAGAGAAAAAGGTCAACTGTTCCATTTCACAGATTTCATGAACTGTTTTTATCCTCTCAGGGGTTGTTGAAGATTCTTTATTTAACCACGTCTTAGTTACTGCTTTCTTACTTGCACTTAATCATATGAACAAGTATCTGTCTTGTTTTTTGAGGTCAAGTGGAACATTCTGCTAATAAATAACACAAATATGTCTTTATCTCTGCTACCACATCCAACTAGTAAGAAAAAAATCCCAAAAAATATGAACACGATCTGCACATATATTACCACACATTCGCCAACACTGCCCATTTTCAGGTATTTTACTCCATTTTATTCTTTTGGACAAAAAAACCTTGGCGTCCCTAAACCAGAGCTTGAGGTGCTAGAGTGTGCTCTACATGTATTTATCTGATAGCTCTATGTTTGCTTCTTTCTCCCAGCTTGATTTAACACACATTGGAAGAGACTTCTGTTCAATTATAAGATTAGGTAAATCCTTTTCTTTCTGGAAATATTATTTTCATTTACATCAAAAATGAATTTAATACTGTCTTTCCTCCCCTGTAGGCTCAATGTTTGAGGGGCTTTTTTGTGTGTTTTGTTTTTTTCAAAATAGTGTCTTAACTGAAGGTAAGTATGTTACAATAATGAGAGAGAAAAAACTCAATGTTCAATCTATACTTATTTTGAGTTATGTTAATCATAGTTCAGT